TAATAACATGCAAAACGTAGACAAATTCACTTACTACTAAAAATTTTCCTGGCTTTCTAACTATGAGAGAAGAGCCATTACAAATTCATTCAAGCTAGTGGTTAACTTTCCCACGGGAACGATGTTGCTACTCCAATTGAAATTGATGGCTATCTGTTCAGAACACAGCATTATACAATACACCATTTGATAGATGAAAAACCTTGACTTTCTATTGGTTATAAGTAATATATATAATGAAACGTAAGAGAGAACTATCAAACAATTGTGCACAAGAGGATGTGACAGGTGGGTGTGGCAGGAGGAGTCTGATTTTCTCTTTAATAGCTCTGTAACAAAACAAAATTGAAGGCCATAAAAATGATGGTCTGTTTGAGCAATAATGATTTTATAGAGAGCATTTTACGTTTAATTTCGTACATTTTCGAGGGATGATGGATAAAATAGGATGATGACATGCTAAGACAAAATTTGTCATGTGTGTTACGCTTGTGGAAATTCAGAATTTGGATATATATTTCTTTGTAGAATTAAGAACTTAAAACTTGTATACTATTAAATATGGATTATTAGCTAAGATGTTATGCTATTCTAATTGGTATAACATAAACAAAAAGTAGTTTAATAAAATTGAATGTAAGACACCAAACCTTGTGTCATGCTTAGTAAAGGGTAACCCTGCCGATAGGGATAATAGCAATCAAAGTCATAAAATTAATAAGTTAGTCTAATTTAGATAACATTCTTTTACAATTATCATAATAATAAATTCGCTTTATAAGTGAAACATTAAATCTGCTATTCCAATCTTATCAATTTTATAATTTCGATAAAATATTGCATATGTTTTACATAGGAAGATGATGTTTCTGTAGAAGGACGGTGTTACTAAGAGTATATAGGCAAATGATGCTATTAAGGACAATGTTAACATAGTTCGTAGGATCATCGATTAATCGACAGTAGTATAATGGTTGAATAAATGTTTAGGATATTCCTCTATCCATATAACTACTATTTCTATTAATAAAATATTTCATTTTACATAAATTGACAGTTACATATGTTTACAAAGACTCACAATGCTTATATGGGTGGACAGTGCTATTATTATAAGTTCTTACTAAGACTTTCTAGGTGGCTTGTTTTATTTCTAGAAAACCTCCACTCGCCTATAAATATAAACAACGCGACACGCCAAAAAAGAGAGTATCTTTAGTTTCCTATGGTCAGTTTAGAGGTTATCGCAAACAAGATAATCAAACTTATATGGAAGCATCACATGAAAAAGAGGTTTATTTTGATCGATGGTGCAATTCTATGCATATTGGTAACAGTTTCGACTTGGATGAAAAGAAAGTTGAAACACTACAGGAAGCAGTCGTTCTTTCCGATGACTACACTTTAACACATAAAACCACTTTTCGTAGAAAGAAATTCCTACCATCTTAACGAAAACCTGTATCTGTTCAATCCACTAAAGTTGAGGATTCTTCCAAAAAATCCAGCTCCTCTAGTTCGAAATCTTTTGACAATGAGAATAAAACTTTTTTTAAAAACAATCAAGGCCTTTCTGCCATTTTTGAGAAAAACCTGGTAATGTTATGTCCGATTGTTGGTATTTGAAAAAGAAAAAAGAAAAGGAGGCAACACTCAGTGCATTTGTGTCCACATTTTAAAGTAGTTTTACCAGATCACCCAATATTGTTGATTTGGCCACTGATATAAAGGCTGAGGTAATCAGAGAGGAATTTAGACCTTTTGTGTCTGTTAGTTCTGTGTCTTGGACAAATGACACTGGCTATCCTATACCCATACTTTTTCTACGTGATACCGGGGCGACTCAATCATTGTTGTTAGAAGGTATATTGCCTTAAGATTCGAGTCCTGCCACTGGTGAATCTGTTATTGCATAGGGTATTGAGGGTGGCTTTGTTAATGTTCCTTTTCAGAATATTTATTTAGCATCAGACCTAGTTTTGGGACCACTTGTGGTTGGGGTAAGACCTACTCTGCCAATTAAGGGTGTATCATTATTGTTGGGAAACGATTTGGCTGGGAGAAAAGTTGTTTCCTAACCTAAAATGGTTAGCAAGCCGATCACTGTTTCATCTAAGGATGACATTGTCGTTGAGGAGAATCCAGATGTGTTCCCCTTGTGTGCTGTGACTCGAGCTCAGGCTAAGAAATTAAGCCAAAAACAAATGATAGACATGGATTCAAAGGATGATATTATAGATTTGTCTCAGACATTTTTAGGATCCGACGGGGACCTTGTGGTTGATCATCCTACTGACAATACCTTGTTAACTGACAATCGTGGACGTGCGGAATTTGATTCACCTAGTGAAATTCCATTTACTAAAAGTAAACTAATAGCTGAGCAAGAAAAATATCTGCAGATCTCTTCACTAATTAAGTATTCACTCCCAAAAGATGAACTGG